AGAGAAAAGAAAGAGAAATTGGAAGAAAATCAAACGGAACTCAAATTCAACCTTTTGGACTTGAGAATTGAACACTTAGGAGATATTGAAAACCTTTAAATGAGGTGTTTAAGTTAAACTAATGTTGTTAAGTTACAATTACTCAGTAAGTTCTCTTTTTTTTTTGGGTGGATAAGTCATAAAATAAAAGGCAAAAAACTTACACCACGACAAGGGGCATACCCCAGGCCCTAACCAAAGCACTATAAGAGAACCAAAGGAAAAACAAAAAGACTAAGCCATTCCAGAATTACCCAGAAAGACTGACGACCAAACCATATCTATCTTTACAAAATAAATAGAATAAGCCAAAAACTAAACTAAATAAACCATACATAATAGGAAGTAACCAAAGTGTGTTGATGTGCCGCATGAAAATGTAATGAGGAACATGACCACACCCGATATCTAAGTAGCAAAAAGTCGGATGGAAACAGAAAATCACGGACACCCGTGTACATCCCACACGGGTAGGCAAAAATACCAACACACTCTAAAGAAAACAAACATAATGGAAAGTCAATCTTCACACACGAGGCGCATATAGCAGCCATCAACACAATCATATCCAGCTTCGAGCTGCGAGTCAACCCAAACTGAAGAACAAACCATGCAGCACCGTCCAAGAACTGCTGCTAAACCATGTAACCCAAACAGATTCTACACATTATAGTAGACCTTGTAATCCAGCAAAGACCAAACAGAATTAAATAATCATGAACAGAGTACTTTGCGAGACTCAGAAACATGAAACATTTAAACATCACACATATATTTGCTCACTACACTCAACCCACAAGTATCTATGCTCACATCACTCGGAAAAACAAAGCTCCATACACCCGCAAAAGAAAAGATACAGAGAATATATAAAAGCTTGTTAGTTCCTCTCAATGTGGCTAGTAATGTGGGGGGGATATGGAGTGTTTTTTCCTCACACGAAACTCAACCCTCAGATTGATTGGCATACACTCAACAATCGACTTTCCAGGACTCCAAGCACCTATATGAATAACAAACATTAGGAAACCCCACAATGTAGTTTCTAACCTTCACTCAACCCACATTTTATGAACTCTTATTCCTTACATCAACAGCAGCAAGCTTCAGCATAGTATGAGGCAATTTCCATGAGCTAAGATACGATCTGTCATTATGGTTAGTCTTCAAATTGGTAATATGCATTACCCTGAATCTAACCATATCCACAATACACTTTATAACAACCTCTTCAGGGACTATATCTTTACTAAACACTCTATTATTCCTAGCAACCCATAACTGGTACACAGTACAAGTAAATGCAAGCTTGGTAACAATAGTCCCTAACTTCAGAGAAGGTAGGTGGAGAGGTCGTCCCTTCGACTCCAATAGGTCAGATCTCTAACCCTAGGTGGTCCGAAAGTGTTGACAACGAAGACTACAGATTCCAAAATCTTCCAAATTGCCTTGATGTTACAAGAATCAGAGGAGAAGGGAGGAGTCGACCAGTTCTCGATGTCATACATGTGGGTAATAATCCTGAAATTCCTAATGTGAATGTTCCTAACCAGTTTGATGGTCGAGGAAGGGGCGGAGGAAGTTACCGTGGGGCAAGAGGGGGTCGAGGGGGTAATGGAGGTAGGAGATCCTCGAATGATGCGGGGCCTAATCAGCCTCAGCAGAGGTCATGGGCCAACGTGGCTTCTGCATCAACTCGATCCAACATCAAACTAAGGTATATCCCCCTACTCAAATTGATGATGTTGTTTTGGTAATATGCCTCGGAGATCCGACCCTTTGGAGAAATGGGACTCATGTTTACCTTCGTAATAGTGTGTTGGCTATAATTACCTTCGTAATAGTGCCTTTGGGTTGTGGAAAAACAAAGGCCTCAAGGAAGTATTAACCAACGGGGATGGCTTTATGTTCTTTATTTTTGATTCCCCGGAATGCTGCAGGGAGGTGCTTGAAGAGGGGCCGTGGTATATTGGTGGTTATTTACTCATCTTAAAACAATGGAAAAGGATGATGAAGCTAGCAAAGCATGGGTTAGAGAGAGAAGCTCTGACATCTGTCTAGAAAACCTTTCGTTTTCTAGGGTTTCAATCCCTCATTGAATTCTCGATGTCCGATCTTAACTCCATCAATCCAACATTTAATGAGCCTGCAGTGAGGAGTCCGGTTAGGGCTCGAAGTGTTGAAACCAGAAATATCCCAAATACCCAAATCATGAAAGATCTGAGCGACACAGCCACCTTCCATCTGCCAACACTGCCAAATTTTTGGACACGAAACTCAGAAGTGTGTATCTAAACAGGTGGCTCACCTAATTGCTCTCCAAAAGAACTCTGAGGAAGCAATTGAGGTGCCAGAAGAGGAATGGACTACTGTCCAAGCCAAAGGGAAAAGGAAAGTGGGGGATCCGGATGAAAATGTGGATGTCCCTCCTCTGGTGCCTGTTGCTCCTACAACAACCATTCCCGTAGTGGAAAGTCCTATCCCAGCTGTGGCAGTGAGCTCATCAGAGGAGGAGTTAGAGACACCAAGGAAAGAAGTTACTATGTTCCATGACAGTGTTATGGAACTGACTAAAGTGGTGCTCTCGCAGGCTGCAGAACTTTTGGAGGCAGTGATTGCTGATACCATGCCAGCTACGGTGAGTTCATCAGGGGTTGCTCAAGCCCTTAAGGCTAAGCATGATCAAGGTAGCAAATCCTCTAGCAAAGGTAATAGCAGTCAGAGGAAGAAGAAGAAGTAACTGTTGTTTCAGTTGGTTGTGGGATGTTCTTTTTGTTTTTGTTTCCAATGACTTTTAAAATTGCTTCTTGGAATGTTAGAGGGTTGAATGACCCTTCTAAACATAAGGACCTAAAAAAGCTGGTGTTTAGTGGGAACCTCCAAATCTATGGGTCGTTCTATCTTGGTTAACTCGAATACTCAATCTCTGCAATTTAGGGATTTGTCATTTAAAGCTGCAGTGGAAACTCTCGGGATTAGTCATCTAAAAGCTGTCGTGTGAAACTCCAAATCAATGGGTATGGCTGCTATATGCGCCTTCCAAAATTGCTGAATGTTCAGAAGCTGTTTTTAATTTACTGTTTGTAGCTATTTAAATCATACTCAGTTTGGCCTACTCTAGTGGGATGTACTAGAGAATATAGTTGGGTTTACCATAGTTTTAGATGTTGGGTACATACAGCAGATAACTTCTCTGCACATCCTAGGCCTTTGGCTGATACCCTTTCGGTCTGTTCTGCGGATTTGCTGTCTTTGTTGACTGTTTTGAATTTTGGCAGCCTTTTTTTGTTGATGTATGGCTGTTCCAGTTTGTTTTGTCCTTTAGCTCCTTCGCTTGTGTTCGTCTTCTATTTCTCTTCGAGATAGGTTTTGAACATTGTGTGTATGGTTCCTTTTGTCTTGTTCTTCGTGGTTTTTGCCTCTTTGTATAGCTTTGTAGGTCCTGGGCCATGCCCCTTGTATCTTTGTATATTTTGCTGTTTTATTTATGTCTTATTCACCCAAAAAAAAGATGATGAAGCTAGCCAAGGAAAAATCTACCAAGATTCCGGTTTGGGTTAAGTTTTTCAACATTCCATTGGAGTATTGGGATCCAGATGGGCTTAGTAGAATTGCTAGTGCTATTGGTAGTCCTCTTTGCATGGATCAACTCACAGCTAGAGGCTACCTCCAAACTACCTACCTATTTTCAGATTCGCTGTAATGAGGAAGCAGTTCTGATCCGTGTTGAATACTAAGGCTTGCCTTCCATCTGCCAACACTGCCAAATTTTTGGAACGAAACTCAGAAGTGTGTATCTAAACAGGTGGCTCACCTAATTGCTCTCCAAAAGAACTCTGAGGAAGCAGTTGAGGTGCCAGAAGAGGAATGGACTACTGTCCAAGCCAAAGGGAAGAGGAAAGTGGGGGATCCGGATGAAAATGTGGATGTCCCTCCTCTGGTGCCTGTTGCTCCTACAACAACCATTCCCGTAGTGGAAAGTCCTATCCCAGCTGTGGCAGTGAGCTCATCAAAGGAGGAGTTAGAGACACCAGGGAAAGAAGTTACTATGTTCCATGACAGTGTTATGGAACTAACTAAAGTGGTGCTCCCGCAGGCTGCAAAACTTTTGGAGGCAGTGATTGCTGATACCATGCCGGCTACGGTGAGTTCATCAGGGGCTACTCAAGCCCTTAAGGCTAAGCATGCTCAAGGTAGCAAATCCTCTAGCAAAGGTAATAGCAGTCAGAGGAAGAAGAAGAAGTAACTGCTGTTTCAGTTGGTTGTGGGATGTTCTTTTTGTTTTTGTTTCCAATGACTTTTAAAATTGCTTCTTGGAATGTTAGAGGGTTGAATGACCCCTCTAAACATAAAGAACTTAAAAAATTTGTGCTTAATGAAGATATCCATGTCATTGGTGTTTTGGAGACCAAAATCAGCCAAAGTAATGAAAAAAAAAATTTAATAATTGTTTTGGTAATTGGTCTTTTTTGTCTAACTCCCAACCAACTGAAACTGGTAGGGTGTGGGTGTGTTGGAACAGTGAGATTTGTGATGTCAAACTGTGTTCGATGTCTAACCAACACATTTTTTGTGAAATCTTGGTTCTTTTTTTTTTTTGGGTGAATAAGAATAAATAAAACAAAACAAAACTTACACGAATACAAGGGGCATACCCCAGGCCCTACCACTACTACAACAAAAACACCAAAAGGAGCAGCAACCAAGCTACATCACAAGAACCCAATCGAACAGACTTACAAACAAAACAGACCGCATAAAACCTGTTCAGGCGCCATGTCCATGATAAACAGGGGGCCTGCACAAGGCCACCATGAAAGGCAACGAGCAAGTCCAAACAACATAAAAAATAAAATAAACAGCGCAAAATGGGGCCCACACACTAGCTAAATGGACTACAAACAACCAGGAAGTGTACAAATTACAACCAAAAACAAAACACCAAGAGGACACAAAATAATTTATACAGCCATAAGAAGACCAATTCTTTGACTTTTTGAGGATTCTAGACAAGGCGCATTTAGCTGCCATCGCCGAAAAGGAATTCCAATCATCACGAAGCCACCAAGAAGGGCGCAAAATGCTGCCACCTCTCCACCACCAGTAAAACATTTTGGAAACAAAACTGCATCTTCCAGATTTGCACAGCTTGATGTCACAGAAACTCCCCCTGTACATAGAACTATAATCATGAACCAAAGACAGCCACATATAGAAGTTGAAACTGTTTTTATGATCAAATAGGAGCAAAAAAAGAACATAAATTATATAAATTCTCACTACACTCGGCCCACAATAAAATATGTCTCTCCTCTCCATATAGTGTCTCACATCACTCAACCCACAACTCACAGATATAGACTCCATCTGGAATAGTAGCTGAGTTGAAAGAGCATCCCTGTCCTGCAAAATAGAAAATATACAGCATATATACAAACTCATTAGAAAGCCAGCTTTGGTACTACTCACATCTCTCAACCCACATTTAGAGTGTATAATGTACTGGCTCACTTCACTCAACCCACAATGAGTCTTGACCTGTCCATTCCTTAGATTAAACAGCATAAAGAATCTGATTGTCAACTGTACCTGCAAAATAATAACCATTTAAGAAACACTCACTATATGCTACTTTCACTCAACCCTCAAAATATAGGTGATCTCACATCCCTCGTGCCTCTTCCAGCAATAGGCAAACTCATGATTGTTGTTGGCAGATTCCATTGTGACAAGTACCAGCTATCACCTGTAGACAACATCACATTACTCAAAGAAATAATCCTACCCCTCACCATTTGGATAATTTGTTTGGTGACAATCTCAGCAAGAATACTAGTTTGACTAAAAACTCTACTATTCCTCTCCCTCCAGATGTGATACACCGTACACATAAAGGACAACTTAGTAATAGCAGACTTCAGAGATCTACCTTTAGTAGAAGTCACAGCCAGCTCAACATTGTCAGCCCAGTTGAGGTTAGGCCAACTCACATTACATTTACCCTGAATAGCAGCCCAGATCTGTGATGAATAGGCACACCTAAAGAAAAGATGTGAATGACTCTCCGTAGAATCATTGCAGAGGGGACAACTAGGGTGAGTAACAAGCCCAAACACCTGCAATCTATCCCTAGTGTTCAATCTCTCATGAATAGCCAACCAAACAATGAAGCTAACCCTAGGAATATAGGGATGCCCCCAGAGCAATTTACTCCAAGAGACTTTAGGACCCTTATCCCTCCAGCAGTCCCAAGTAGACTGAATAGTGAAAAGACCATCACCAGTAAGACTCCACCAAGGACAATCCTGAGTGTTCACAGAGGGTTTAAAAGTGGTGGGAGTAGATGCAATCCACTCTCGGATCTCCCAAGAATTAGGGAAAGGCCACTTCCAAGCACCACTAGAGATGATGGAGCTAACTTTAGAGTTACAGTCAAGGCCAGAATCATAGGCAATTCTGGGCCCAAACCTGCTCCACAATGGTCCAAAGGGATGCCAGTTATCAAACCATAGAAAAGCTTGCTCCCCATTACCAATTTTAAGTTTAATAAGGGGGAGAAGGAGATGTCTAAGCTTCAGGATTTTCCTCCAGACCCATGAGGGGTCACTAGGGACTTTAACATACCAGAAACTCCTACCTTTGAGTAAGTAGGACTTGACCCATTGGCACCACATAGAGCCCTCTCCACCAGAGAAGAGGAACCAAACATGTTTAGCTACAGCAGCCTTATTCCAAATACCCATGTCTTTGAAACCCAAACCCCCCTCATTCTTGGGTTTACATATAGAGCTCCAAGCAATCTTAGCACTATGCTTCTTCAAGTCAGACCCAGACCAAAGAAAGGCTCTAAGCAGGCTCTCAATATCTCTAATAACCTTTCTAGGAAGGATGAACATAGAGGACCAATACACTTGCATCGAAAAGAGGATAGTTTGAATGAGTTGAGCTCTACCCGCATAGGATAGAAGTTTATTAGTCCAACTCCTAATACGCTTCGTTATCCTATCGATCAGAATTTGGCAATCAAAAGCCTTGAGCTTAGTGGTAATCAAAGGAACTCCCAAGTATTTAACCGGGAGAGTCCCCTCATTGAACTTAGCAATATGAAGAATCTCCTCTCTGAGGTGCCTGTTACACCCAGAGAAGAAGATATTACTCTTGTTAGGACTCGGAGTAAGGCCTGATAGCCTTTTGAATTCATCCAATCCTTGCATAATAAGGTTCACAGTCCCAGGATCACCTTTACTGAAAATCATCAGATCATCAGCAAAACAAAGGTTCACAATTTTGGTCTTATCACACCTCCAATGGAACTTAAACATAGGACTCTTGGCTTTTTCAGCAAGGATTCTAGCAAGAATTTCCATAGCTAGCACAAACAGGTAAGGGGACATAGGGTCTCCCTGTCTAAGCCCTCTGGCACCTTTGAAGTACCCATGAAGACTCCCATTAAAATGCTGCCACCTCTCCACCACCAGTAAAACATTTTGGAAACAAAACTGCATCTTCCAGATTTGCACAGCTTGATGTCACAGAAAC